AATTATCTCAAACAGGTGTTTCATCAAGTCCTCTGAAAGGATAAGTGTCCAATCTTGCGAACTAGCTCTTGGAGACACTGGGTACATGCTTCTCCTGCTGAGAATGTGATCAACTCTACTGATAAGTCAGTCTTTAATGGTGGTTACTGAAATGTGTTATGCGGTCACGGCCCGAGCTTGGTGGAAATTCTTGAAGTGTTGGAGAAACTTGCATTGAATGCCATTGACAAGTCAATTAGGGGGAACACAGTGGTTTTTAAGGTATTGCCCTGTGGTATGATTGTGCAGAACCACTCTTCTCAAGGATACTTGAGATATGGAGAGGCAGACATATTGCTTTCCTGATCCTCCTGGTGCACTAGATACTTCAGCTGTGGTGTCCAAGCTGGTCCTGGCTACTTATCACACTGCTCTGTGTGTGTGTACATGCTGGGAAAGAATATTGGCATCTTCCATGTGAATATTATGAGGGTCAGCTGTGGTCCGGGCTCTTGATTGGAACAGCATAAACTTTAGGGATAAAACTTTCTGTTGTTTGTGGTATAGAATAGAATCATAGAATCATAGAATTGTTTAGGTTGGAAAAGACCTTTAAGATCATCCAGTCCAACCATTAACCTACACTACCAAGTCTACTCTAAGCCAATCAAGGGTAGACTAGACTAAACCATGTCCCCAAGTGCCACATCTACCCGTTTTTTGAACACTTCCAGGGATGGTGACTCCACCACTTCTCTGGGCAGCCTGTTCCAATGCTTGACCACCCTTTCCGTAAAGAAATTTTTCCTAATTTCCAACCTAAATCTCCCCTGGCGCAGCTTAAGCCCATTTCCTCTCGTCCTATCACTAACTACTTGGGAGAAGAGACCAACACCCACCTCACTACAACCTCTTTCCGGCCCTTCTTGTAGATGGGCGTCACGTTGGCAAGCCTCCAGTCATCAGGGACCTCCCCTGTTAACCAGGACTGCTGATAGAGGATGGAAAGTGGCTTGGCAAGCTCCTCTGCCAGCTCCCTCAGTATGGCTGAGTGCTGGCTGAGAGTTGGAGAAGAGATTATCCTGTCAGTCAGGTAGATGGAGAAGGAGCCAATCTACTATGTCATTTTTGCTCTAGTTTAAAAAACTCTGCTATTAATAGTAAGGGAAGCATGAGATGTTACAGCCTCTGTGTAGGTCTGCATGGGGAGACTGTGATGCACCGACAGTCCTCAGGAAAAACAGTTTCCTGGGCCTCTGGTTGCACAGTGCAGTGTGAGCAGCTATGCTGCAGCATGGCCTTCCATGCACAGCACCTCCTCCCCACCTTCCTAGGTGGAAGAAGGGCATGTCTGATAGCTAATACGCTGCTGTAGTGAGTGTTTGAAATAATAATCTCCAGGATGGATTGGCAGGGGAGGCTGGCAGTGGAAGGAAGAGGTGAAGGGAGCAAAGGAGAGGACTTCGGTTTTAGGATACATTACACTTAAAATTCTGAGACTGCTCCACTGACGGGCCACATAAAGAATTAGATTTACAATTTGAAGTAAGTTCCGTAGTAAAATAATTGGAGTGGTGAAGCAATCTCACTCTCACTAAATTGCTTTCCGAGGACCCTATCCTGAATGGGGCTGTGCAGCTCTTTCTGATATATGAACATCCTCAGGTCTCATTGACTTTGGTGGCATTTAAACTCATTGAACTCCTCACTAGGCAATTAGTTCCTTATAGGTCTAATTTTTCTCCTGCAAAGTGGTAACTGCCTTTACTTTCAGTTAGCAGTCATACCCTGTGCTCCTCAAGTCCAAGCCTTAGCATGCATATATCATTTAACAGTTCTTTTGTGAGGCATGTACTTAAGCATTTGTGCATATGTTCTGTTCCTTACTGCTTTCTGTGGGTAGGATCCATGATAGTTTTGTTGCGCTGACTGCATCACATTAGCAAACAGCACGTGCAAAATACTTGATGGAAAATCTTTCCAAAAATAATCCTCTCAAATGCCCATAAGACAGTTTTATGTTTTGTTTTGTTTCTTTTAAGTAGGAAGTGTTTATTTTGCCTTCAAAAAGGGACGGATGCACTTCAAATTAAGAGGACAATTTTATTAGCATGGAGGATGAATGAGACAATAAATGAGATAATGAAAGTGAGATTTTTCTACCTTTCCTTTCCACGAGAGAAGACCTGCTGAAATGCAGTATGTTTACAGTCCTCAAATTACTGAAGCTCTAAATGTTTTTGCTTTCATGGTCTCCATTTGTGCTACTGCACATTTTGGGATGATGGATTGTGGAGCACTGAGTGTTGAGATGAAGAGAATCAATAGTGTGATACAAAAGATGAAATAACTCTGATGGAACATCAATAAAGGCTAAAAGTTGCCATAGGGATTTGAATCTTAAAAAAGAGCTTGAGAAAGTATATTAAGAAGAATTCGCTTCTCCCCTTGCACTTGTAGTGTCTTTATTCCATGAGCAGAGGTCGCTTGGGGGTTCTTGTCAAGTACAGGGGTGGAGGAATTTTTTTCTTTTCTGTATGTATATGATGACCAGCACAGTGCCTCCTGGGCGCGATGTCTTCCAAGCATTGTCACAGTGTCGTTGCTATCTCAGCCTATAGCTGGCATGAATAAAAATGGAAAAGTAGAGCTCTAAATAGCCTCGTGTGCTGTTAAAGGGTTCAACACATGCAAAGTGTAGGAGAAGTAGGAGAGTTTTTATCATGCCAAAGTTATTCACTGTTTAAGGGAACGTGTGTTACAGGTCTATCCACTAGTGTGCATAACCAGGAGTGTTCCCAACCAAGTGTCTTCCCACTTGACTCCACCACTGGCAAATTGTGCAAGAACAATTATGAGGCCCAGATTTTGCCCTAGTGTTAGCACTGCACAGTACTGCATTCAGCGATTTGTTAGGATGCAGTTTGGAATATTTGGTCTGAAGCAGAGAGGATTGTTTGCCGGGTAACATAGTTTTCAGGGTGAAGAAGGCTGTGTCATGCAAAATAGCTACCATCTCTATCCAAGCAGAACTCCAGTGTTTTTTGGGTTTTTTGGGGTTTTTTTTGTTTTTTTTTTTTTTTTTTTTTTTTTTTTCCCCTTGAGTATGGGCTAAATGAGGTTAGTCGGATATAATTCTGAGCTATAAAACAAGAAAACTGAGGAATCCTTGAATCATTTGGTAGGCAGACAGAAACCCAGGTGGATGAGGGTATAGGGATAGATTTGATTACTTCTGTTTCTAAATGATGTACGCATTGCAGATACACAGCAGAATTGTGTTTTCATTGGTAGCTTTCATTAAGAATCTTTACACAGGAGGCACACCTGGAGCTCCACATTAGATTTTATGGATTTTATGGGAAAAGGTGCTATTGAATGTGACTGAAGGTATCACAGTATGCCTCTTAACATTTCTGTTGTAATTCTGAGTGTTCCTGTCCTCATCGTTATCTTCTTGTTTCCCAAATGTTTACCAGACCTACTTTCATGACTTATTTCTCATTTTTTGCTTGCAGCAATACGCAAAACCCCACAATTCTGATTGCACATTGCATTCTGAAAGGATATTCATTGCTTTTATGTACATAATTCATACTGATGTTGCATTCTGGACTTTAATTAGAATTCTGACTCTATCGCTCTCGTAGTTTAAAAAACAAACACTAAATAAAACACATAGCTTTGTCACAAAGATAAACCAGCATCAGAGAGGCAAATTAAGTTTGAACCATAAACACTCCTCCTCTGAATTCAATATACATCTTGAAACAATGGTAATTTACACATGTACCACTAAACAAATAAGGGAAGGCTAGGCTGTTAGTGTTGAAAACCTTAGCTGTTTCTATCTAAGCAAACTGTATGGGACTTGCCTACTAAAATGTGCCATGCAAAAATAAAGCTATTAAGGCAAGGTTGGCATCATCATTTTTCTTTTGCAGATCAGGTGGTAGTTTCTGGCAGTAACTTTTAGAGCTCAAATAAATTAATGCAGAAACCAAGGTTAGGTCATACACCTATTTGCTTAGTTCAAAGTCAAACCATCACAAAAGAAAGAAAAGGAATGCACTGTTCTAAAATACATTAGTGTTATTAGTAATATATTAAAATGCAACACATTTTTAAAAATACTGCTTCTGTCAAAATACTTATTTATGTTGAATTCTGTCTTCAAAGGAATAGAGTACTTAATCCAGCAATGCATTTGGGCTTATGACTGATTTCAAACATGAGAACACAGAACTACTCACATGCTTAAAGTTAAGCACAAGATTAACTGGACAAGGTTAATAGCTCTTCTGGGATGAGATCAAGTGTTCAGCTATAAGGACCTGACTCTGCCAGTCTTACTTGTGTTTTTTTTTCCCTGCAGTGAGACACCTATGAGATTCCGTCCCATTCAACACGAGTGGTGTAGCCAAATGCTACTTACGACTTAAATCTAAGAGATGAAATCTTAAGCTCCAGGATGAGGCCTTCTCCCTTAATATTGCATCACAATGAATTCTTTGTCAGCTTAAGTTTCACAAGGATTCAACAGAGAGTGTCCTCTAGGGAGAGCTACTTTGCAGATGTGGAGAAGATGTGGAGAAGGGCCACCAAGGGCAAGTAGTCAGGTTTAGCCTAGTTAGCACAAGGAGAGAAACGCTGCCTTTTACCAGCTGCAGCTGATGTTCTTCCTGAGTTCAAACCTTTGATCTAAATCAGGAAGACTAGGGACCTTAACCCAAGCTTTTCCATGTCACAGATGAATGCCCCAAGCAGCAGGCTTTTGAGGGTTTTAGATCTTGCTCTGGTTCTGCCAGGAGTCCCAGAACCTGAGGGTCTTAGTGCACAGTCTGCCTCTAAACCTGCAGGTCTGAGCTTTAATGTTTCTTGGGGCGGGCAGTGGGAAGGCAGGCAAGGGGTGCAAAACTCAGACACTTCAAAAAAGCTTCACAGGTCACAAAATACAGTTCCTGCCCTAAACTGCTGTATTTCTGAGTGTGACATCAACCCTTTTTTGTCTCTGCTTTCAGGTTGCTCCTATCATTAAAGAAAGGATGATGAAGAAGGGCAGCATGATGCTTGGGTACCAGCCTCACCAGGGCAAGGTCAACTTCTTCCGCCAGGTGGTGATCAGCCCGCAAGTTCATCGAGAGGACATGGACTTCTTGTTGGATGAAATTGAACTGCTTGCTAAAGACTTGTAGCTGTAGCTCCACAGCACCAGGTGCTGCTTGCATGTGATACTTATGGAGAGAGAATGGCAGCAGCATTCTGGTGCTATTTTATGAAAGGTAGTAAAAAGCTTGACATATAGTTTGGAAACTGTCATTTACACGGTGATGTTGAGAGCTTTGCAGGTAGAACACCCCTTCACAGGAAAGTATTTGCTGATGGGGGCTGAGAGTGGCCGGGAGCAGGCCAATGCTTGCCGCCATTCTGGGAAGGGTTTCCTTGAGAAGGGAGCACTTCTGAAAATGGTGTCTAGGTCCCAGGGAGGGCAGCTATTTATGGGGTGCCTGTGCACAGTGTAGCTCAAACTGGTCACTTACGTATGCAGGCAATACTCCTCTGAAGTTACTGTTAGGAGTGAATTTAGCTCAGTGAGCTTTAAAATGCTAGTTAATACTCTGTCTACTCTGTCAATATTTTAGTTTGGTATGTGTTTAAGGGTAGAGGCCTGGTTGGTAATTACACTGATAAGACTGAACATTGTGGACTTGTATGAAGCGTTCCTCAAGGCCCCCAACTGGGTGGACTGCCCAAGTTTTCTGCCATGAGCACAGTCAACATGGGGTTGTGCAGTCATCATCCTGGGAAGTTTGCAGGACCCCAGGCAACTGATATTGACCCTGCTTTAAGCAGGTGGAAGTAGATGACCTACTAAGGTCCCCTTAGTAGGGGAGACACCCTTCCAACCTAACTGATTTTGTGATTCTATGAAACACAATGATTGGGTCCAGTCAGTGTTTGCCAATGTTGCCCACCCAAAATATCACCACAACTTTAGCAGAGCTGAGAATATTGGAATAGCACTTAAAACTTCTTACCTCTTTCTTAAATGGAGTTACCTGTAATTTCTGAACTGCTGTTCACCTTCCTCTGTTTTTAAAGCATAAAGAATTATTTAGCAGCTTTTAGATGCACTTTATAATTTTAACAGAGAAAAAATAAATGTATTTACCTGGAAGATACATATTTTTTATGCATGGTGACTATATATTAAGAGTATAGCAAAATGACATATTTGTCATTGTATTTTCCTACAGATTTGAGATGACTCAATCTTATGTTATCAGTATATAATTTATATTTTGGCACTTAGATCAAGGTGGTGGTGATCAGTGAAAGCCTGCCTGTGATTTTAGGATATGAACAGTCTGAGTATTTTTGGTCACGCTTAAATTACAAAATTAAATTCTAAACTTTATGTTTGTGTTAAGAATTACAGTTTACTTTTGATCTGTTTTTATTCTATAAAATGATCCATTTTATAAAGATAGAAATTCATTTCTTGGGGTAAAGTTCTTGCAGCAAACTAATGCAAATAACCATGTCTTTCACCTTGTAATCAACACCTACTTAACTTTAATGTTTTCATGTTTGTTCCTTATTCTGTATTTGAGGTGGCACTGACCAATATGAGCATTTCTGCTATAATGTTTTCTGTCCTGCTGACAGCTGTCTTTGAACACAATGCTTTCTTGTTTTCATTTCCTACATTGTACTAGGATCCAACATTGCATGACATTCCTAATTCCAATCTCCAGGATTATGGTATGGAAAATTTAACAAGTCATGATACCCAAGGAGGTCACACTATCAGAGAGTAGATAGGAGCAATAGTTACCCTGCAGCACTTGACAGATGCCCTTAACAGTGTCCTGGAAGTGGATATTCTTGTGCTATTATAGTGAGCCACTGGACTTTAAGCCAAAACCCACATTGATATTAACATAAAAATAACTATAATGATGTGGTCCTTGGATTCTGCCCTGTAATACCTGCAGTTTACTTTATCATTTATTATCTTGTGCTTCTGGCTATACCAGCTTGGAAAGCGCTTAACTAAATTCAGGGCCCATAAGGCTTATTTAGCCTCCCAGCCGCTCCGGGAGGAGCATAGAGTACACAAGGGGTGCTGGATGGATGGGATGACTTTGGTGTTGCTTCTTCAGTTAGATAAGACTGTTACCCCTTCTCCT